ATCTGGGTCCAGCATCAGCACCACCGAGATCCAGTGGTCATAGGAAGGGGTTGGCCCAGGGAGCTGGCCGCCCACAGCCCCAGGGAGCAACGGGGCCAAGCTAGGATGTGAGGGGACGTGTCCAAGAACCGTCCAGCTCACCTGCTCTCATGTCAGACCAGAAGCTGAAGCCAGGTGAGGGCAACTCCACAGGACGTGGAGGGCCAGGAGCCCCTGGACCTAGGCAGGTGGCCGCGTGTCAAGCCACCTCCAGGGGCGCCCCATAGAGCCCATGCTTCCTGGGGTGACCCTGTGCCCTGGTTATCCTCTCTGAGCCCCGCCTTTGGACTGGGAGAGGCACTTATGGGGTGTGGCACCTGGGGAAGGTTCTGGAAACACCGCGCTGTGGGTGTTGGTATTGCTGGCACAGGCTGTGAGCTGCAAAGTCTGGGCTGGAGGCACAGCTGTTGGCAAGGGTCGGAGTGACCTTGAGATGCCCCCCAGGAGGTGGAGGCTCCTCAACTGAGTTAGACACCCAAGACTGCAGCAGCCAGGGAGGCAGCCTCTCTGTGTGCCCAGCACGGTGCTGGCCCTGGACGTGCATCCAGCCCAACCCTCATGGCCTCCCTGTGAGTGGGAACTGCTTTGTCCCTGTCTTACGACAAGGAGACCACACACGGCCAGTCTAGCCTCAGAGCCCGCGGCCCTCATCACCACCTTCGGCTACATCTGTCAAACAGAGATGGGAAGCCCCTCAGCTGGGTGCTGCGTGAGGCCAACTCAGGTGACCGGCTTAGTGTCAGTGAAATGAGGAGACGCAGAGCATTGCTGTTAGCAGGCCATAAATATGTGGCTCTTCCCCTGCAGGGGTGGTGGGGTGTTAGGGTGAGGATGCTGCTGATGAAGGTGGTGCAGGAGGAAGATGGAGGTAGAGGTGGTGGTGATAGTGATGGTCATGGTGAAGACTGATGGCAAGGGGCTGATGTTGATGGAGGTGATAGTGGAGGTGGTGATGGTGATGGTGGAGATGGTGATGGTAGTGATGGAGATAATGGTGCTGGTGGTGGTGTAATGGTGATGGTGATGGTGCAGATGGTGGTGATGGTGATGGGGATAATGGTGCTGGTGGTGTTGGTGATGGTGATGGTGGAGATGGTGGTGATGGTGATGGGGATAATGGTGATGGTGGTGGTGGTGGTGGTGGAGATGGTGGTGATGGTGGTGGAGATGGTGGTGATGGTGATGGGGATAATGGTGGTGGAGGTGGTGGTGGTGATGGTGGAGATGGTGGTGGTGGAGATGGTGATAATGGTGATGGTGACGATGTTGATGTTGGAGATGGTGGTGGTAATGGTGATGGTGATGGTGATGGTGGAGATGGTGATGGTAGTGATGGAGATAATGGTGCTGGTGGTGGTGTAATGGTGATGGTGATGGTGCAGATGGTGGTGATGGTGGTGGAGATGGTGGTGATGGTGACGGGGATAATGGTGATGGTGGTGGTGGTGGAGATGGTGATAATGGTGATGGTGACGATGGTGATGTTGGAGATGGTGGTGGTAATGGTGATGGTGGTGATGGTGATGGTGATGGTGATGGTGGAGATGGTGGTTACTGTGATGGAGGTGATAGAGGCGATGGTGGTGGTGGTGATGGAGGTGATGAGTTATGGTAATGATAATTGTGTCCCTCAGGGCCCCCTCCTACCCTCGGGACCATGTCTTAGAGCAGTGTGTGGGAGCTGGAAAACAGTAATGCCCGGGCAGTGGTAGTTTGCTAAACGGATAGGAGACGATATCCTTTATGGCGCTTCCCTTTCTCTCGTAAATTAATCGTGATAGCAGGGAGGACTGATGGTTTCTAATGTCCTCACAAAACCAAAGAAAAACTTGATCAGTTTTGTCTGGGCTTATGTTCTCTCCCCACTTGGTTGAGGACGTTACTGGTCTGTGAAATCCCCAAGTCTGGAAACTGCAGCTACCTGGCCCATCATGCTGCCCTTCCAAATGCTCTCTGGTAAACACGCACACACACACGCACACACGTGTTTGGGCACATACACTCCTCTTAGCTCCTGGACCCTGGGCCCCCTGACCCAGCCAGGGACCTGCACCAGTCAGCCCGCCTGGCCCAGCAGTTTCCTAGGCAACCAGCACAGAAATGCCACCTGGGGGTTTAAGCAGCACAATTAAGAGTCGTACTGGCAATTAACAGCCCTGCGGTCCTTCAGTGGCTCCGTGAGCCACTCTGCGTAACCCACTTGTCCCTCCAGGGCCTGGACATGTGTGGCCCCGGCGTGGACGCCGCAGGGTAGCCCCCAGCTGAGTTGCCTGCTGTGCTCCCCTCCGCACTTGCCTGAACTCTGGGGCCACCTGTGGAAGCTCGGCAGGACCCTGAGGCCCTGCCCTAGGGGCTGTCTCCAGGTGGACTTGGCCAGGGAGAGTGCGAAGGCGGGTGTGCAGGGCTCCAGGCAGGAGGCACACGGGGCCACGTTTGGTCCTGATGCCAAGCGTGGGGGGCAGTGTCAGCCCACGGGTTGGTGCCTACCTGGAAGTCCCATGTGCTGTGCCTGCGGATGCCCTGAGGGTGCTTTGGGGTCCTGTGCTGGCCCCCAGGCTGGGCAGCAAGCTCAGACATTGCGCATCTGCTCAGTGTCACACAGCAGGTCTGTGAGTCCGTGTTTTGTTGTTATAACTGAATTAAATTCCAGACGGGTCATTTATAAAGAATCAAGGCTCATTCCGCTCACGGCTCTGAGGTCCTGGGGGCTGCGCCTGGTGAAGCCTTCCTGCGGGAGGGGACCCTGCAGAGTCCCACAGCCATGCAGGGAGTCGTGTGGGAAACAGGCACGTGCCCTAGTGGGGTCTCTCTTCCTCCTCTTTTGGGCCACCCCCAGAACCCCATCTAAGCCTAACCCTGCAAATGCCATCAACATATGACCAAGGCTGGAGTTCAAGGTGACTTTGAAGGAGAGGCATGTCCCCACCCCAGCATGATATAGAGAGAGGAGGCCATGTCCCTTCCTGGAGCGTCACTGAGGTCATGGAGCATCCAGGCCCTGTCCCAGGGGTCAGGGAGGGTGGCTGGTGGCTACAAGGCAGGTGCTGAGCTGACCTGCGTGGTGTGGGCGTGTGGCTTTGTCTTGGTGACCGTTACTGCTGCTGTCCATCAGTTGGTCATGCACCTTCTTCCGTGTGCCCAGGTGGCCAAGGCCATCATGCAAGGAAGGGCAGGTAATGATGCAGGAGGGACAAACCTGAGCAGAGGACGAAGTCCCATTAGCTATTTACGTCTGTGGTCCAATGGCTTGACTCGTTCTCCCTGTTTATGTGAGTGTGACAAAATGACCAACTTATATAATTGGCAACTTTTCTTTTGACGATCTGCTTACCGTCTCAGCCTCCTGCTGCTCAAAGCTCAGTTGCTGAGTCTGTGGAACGCCACTGCTTCCGGCGTCTTCCGTGGACGGACACTCTGGTCCTGCCAGGGCACTCTCCTCACAGGCCTTCGAGCTGCGTGGCCTCAGGGCCGAGTGGGCAGTGCTGACGAGGGTGCAGGTGCCCAGGCAGTCACCAGAGCAGCAGGACGCCTTCAGTGTAAATGAGACTGCTCTCCTGATGGAGGGCACCCGTGGTCCTGCGCAGGGCGTGGAGGGCAGTGCGTGCAGCCCTCCCTGGACAGGCCTGGCGGTTAAATGGCCAGCAGCCCCAGCGGCACTTACAGCAGGGCCTGAGCAGAGGGGCCTCATCAGCGTCAGCAGTGGAGTCAGCCACGGGAGGCCGCCTCTGCTGGGAATTCATGCTGCAGAGCTGGGCGTTTGGGGAAGGGGCAGAGAGCCGTGGGAGCCAGGCCACAGGGGACCCCCGTTGCCCTGCTGTCCGCTAAGGCAACATGGCTGCTGTCACAAATCTTGAAGTGCAGCCTCAGGGCGCAGAGGGCTTCTTCTTGTTCCCACAGCCCTGGGGAGCAGAGACCCACTCTGCATCTCACCTGGGGACCCCACCACCCTTAGGCCCTCCAGGTCCAGAGCCTTAAGCTGACAGAGCAGGAGAGGGAAGAGAAGGGGGGTGGGCTTCTTCAGAGCCTAGGGGTGAAGGGCCCGGCTGTGCTCACACCCCATTGGTGAGAAGGAGTCACATGTCCACACCCGGGAGCAAGGGCAGCTGGGAAATGTAGTCCCAGGCTGCCCACCTGCCCCCTTCCCACCTCAGGATTCCCTGCTCAAGTCAGAGAGGAGTCTTGGGCGGAAAAGGAGCCAGACCTTTCTCAGAGCCCGGACCCGTGTTCACGTTGAACTGCAAATGTGTTTGGGGTATTTGAGTAAAAAAAAATCACATTTACCTCGGAAAACAGAACCGGGGAGACTGCAGCAGAGGCCCACAGGAGGTTGGCCTCGGTTTCTGCCTGAAACCAGTCATTTGATTCCTGGGCAGTTTTGCAGTTTCCGGGAGGAGAGGCCAGCCACTGACCACGCGGTGAGCGTGGGTCCTGCGGTGGGGCCCCCAGGCCCAGCTGTGTATCCACGACCTCCCTCACTCCTCATACCCATGCGTGCACCTCGGACCGCTGAGTCGGGAAAGCCCACACTGGCTCAATCAGGAATCGAGTCACGTTTGTTTATTGTCTTTGTTTTTAGGAGAAAGTAACTGTAGGCAGGACAATAGGCATGTGTCCCTCTCCCCGAGGCAGCCACCTGCAGGTGCTCCGATGGGCCAGAGGCGGGCGGAGGCCACGTGCAGGCGGGCCGTGGCGTGGCGCAGGAGTGCGGCCGCCCTTCTGCTCCGCAGAGCTCTGTTTCTGCCCCGGAACAGCTCTTGACCCTCCGTGGCCAGGGCTGGGGTTCATAGGTGTCCCCAGATTCTGCCGGCAGTCCCTGGAATCAGGATCCTCTTCTCCCTAGGACTTTCCCCAGGAGAGCGGGTCTCGGGCTTCAGGGGACGGGTCAACGAGAGCCCAGCACGGAGTGGGGTCGGCGTCCAGCACCATGACCTCTCTAAGCGCTATTTCTCTCTTCTGCACAGAAACCCGCTCGGACCGCAGTAAGAAGCTCTTCCGGCACTACACGGTGGGCTCCTACGACGGCTTCGACGCTTCCAGGTAGGACGCGCGTCTCCCTGCCAGGACCTCTGGTCACAGGCACTGTGCGGCCTGAGCGCTGGGCCAAGTCGCGTGGAGCGCTCAGGCCCCTTGGTCTGCTTCCCCGGTGTGTCCCCGTATGGGCTTGCGGAAGCCACCGTCTTCCAGAGAACCTGCCCGTGGAGTGGCCTGTGTGGCCCCAGGGCCTGGGTGGAGCAGGAGGCAGGGGACTCAGTGCTGTCGAGGGAAACAGCAGTCCAGAGGCTGGGCGGGCAGTGGCCCCAGAGCGTCCCCCATGGGCATGTCCCCCTGGAGTGTTGGGGGCCTGCTGGGGCCTGGGTTCTCACCTCAGGCGGTTCCCCTCTCCGTTCCTGCCACTTCACACGCTTCCCTGGCTTCCTGTTTGTTGCTGGAGGCCCTTCCCCTGCGGGGGACGCTGGGCAGGCCGTGGGGGCTGGTGTGTTGTGCAGGAGCCGTGCTCATCCGGTGGCTAGGCCCAAGTGGGGTGGGCAGGACTGTCCCTTGGAGATGAGCACTCAGCCAGGTGGGGCTGTGATGGCCAGGTGCTGCCCTCCCCTAGAAGCCGGTGAGCAGCATCTCTCCTGGCCACTGTGCCCTTTGCCAAGTCCCTGTGTCCCCGGTTGCAGGTTCCTCTTTCCCTTCATTTCTGTCCTAAGCCACAAGTGTCCCTTGGCTAGCCCTGCTACCATGCTGGGTACAGGGGCATGGGGAGCCCACACCCCACAGGGGACTGGGTTGACGGGAGCCGGATGTGGTGCAGGGGAGGGAAGGAGACACAGGTATGTGACTGCGGCATGTAAGGGACCTGCCGCTGGCCCTGCTGGTGGCCGACCGCAGGCCTCTCTGAGAAGCCCAGCAGCCAGCCCTCCGAGGAGCAGGACCAGTCTGGGGAAGGGTCCCCATGCCCTGCCCTGGGTCCTGCCTGACCCTGGGGTCTGTGAGGAGCAGCTCAGACCTGCCCCTGACTCCTGTCTGCCTGCCTCGGGACCCGGCCCAGGTTGGCGCTGTTGACCCCTGAATCACGCGGTTGACGTTTGCTGTGCCGAAGTCCGTCGTCTTTCGGTGGCTTTCTGTTTCCGTCAGGGTCTGAAGCCCTTTCCTCACCCCAAGGGGGTGCCCTGTCCCCACGAGCGGCCATGCCCGTCTCCCCTCCCCACGGCCCCTGCAGCCCTGCTGAGCCTCCTGCATGGACTCGCCTGCCCGGAGCCTTACGTCAACGGTGTCAGTGCACGGTCTCTTCTGACTGGCCCCTCACCACGCACAATGCCCTCAAGGTCCACCCGTGTTGTGGCAGGTGTCCACATGGTGTTCTTATGGGGTACAGTGGACATGTTGCCAAGTCCCCACCTTGACCGTGTCTGGCGCACCCTTGCCTGCCACCCAGCCGTCACACTCTCCAGGCCTCTGTCCCCAGCCTGGAACCTGCCCAGAGCCTGGTCCCCAGCCCCGCACACACACGGGGTTTGTCACGTCAAGTCCTCGAGGTCCGCCCCGGGCAGGGTTTCTTTGCTTCTTGGGGCTGGAGAGCTCCATCATGTGGACGGGCGGTTTCTTACCCGCTGGCCCCCTGCTGCCCTGGGGTGTTGCACCATGGGCTCGTGTGGATGTGTGCTCAGGGAGACCCCAGGCGGGAGCTGCTGGTCAGACCTCCACCGCTCACACCAGCTGTGCTCTGCCCCGGGTGCCAGGGGGTGCACACTCCCCAGGTCTTGTCCCACTTGCCCACCTTGGTGACCTGCCCGTGAGCAAAGTCCAGAAAGAGAACTCAGGGCCACTGGCCTCCAGGGAACCGTGCCTGACGCTGGCTCTTCCCGACGGGTCTTGACTTGGGCAGAGGGGGGTCACTGCAGAGAGTGCACCTGCTCAATGGGCCACCTGCTTGTGTGCTTCCCTCCTAGCGAGGAGGGGCTGGGCAGAGCCAGCGGACCTCAGCGCCCAGGGCTCGGGGAAGTGGGCAGAGCTGTCACCAGGGCAGAGCTGTCACCAGGGCTGCTTGGAGGCTCCAGGCAGGGATCCGGGGTCCGGGTGAAAGGTGCCCTCTGGAAGCTAAAGGGCCCTACCTCTGGCTTTAGGGGTGCTGTGTCCCCACAAGGCCCATGGTCTGTGGGGCCCGAGCCCCAGGGGGGCATCCGTGGTGTGTCCTGTGCATGCACACACCTGACACGTGACACAGGTGGCCCTACGCTCAGGGCCACTGCCCAGGGGAGCCATGGGAGGACCTGACTTGATGGAGCAGGGAAGGGGAAGGATGTGGGGCCGCTGCCTGGGGTCCTGGGCAGAGGCTTGTCACAAGCCCAGGACCAGAACACACAGGGCCCTCGTGGCTGTGCAGCCAGAGAGGCGTCCTTGTTGGGTGACAGCTGCTCCCTGGGCGGACGAGGTGGAGCTGGGTACTCTGGTTCCAGAAGGACCAGTGAGCTCCGAGGACCTGCCACCTGCCGCCCTGTTGGCTGTGTCCAAAGGGTTTTGTTCCTTCTCTGTTCTGAGCTCTGTGGCAGAGGAGAGGGACGTCTAGGCCACACCGGGGTCAACTGGAGCTTCTAAGCGATGGGTGGAAGGTTCTAGTCCTGGCTCCCAAGCCACCCTGACCCCCATGGCAGAGTGGCACACGGCTGCGGCCACCACCCGCCTCCTGGTGGCCCCTCTCCTCTTCTCCTCCGGGTTCAGCCTCCGAGCCTGGTCACAGCGCTCTGAGGCTGCCCCTCGGCCACCTTGTAAAGCAGGGGTCGTTGTCCACTGGACAGACGGACCTTGAGGTGGAGAGGGGAAGGCCAAGTTATGGGCTTGCCCCCGCCCCATGAGCATCTGAACCCGAGAGTGGAGTCTCCCTGCTGAGGACAGGAGTCCACTGCCCAGGACTGGCCTGGGGTGCAGGGAGGACAGGGTCATCCCCTCCTGAAGCAGCACTGGGAGAGAGCACTCCCCTGGCTCCGCGCCCGTCTGGCCCCTTCCTACCGGCCCTGGGATGGGCCGAGGAGTCTCCTGTGCTTAGAGCCAACAGGACTTTCCTTGACCTCTCTGGGGCCTTGGCAGGGCGTGGAGGGCAGTGAGGGAGCTGAGGCCAAAGGCACGGGTGTCACGTGCCGTCGGACAAGGTGGCTCTGGAGTGGACACGGGTGGAGGCTGTTCTTGCTCCTGATTGAGGAGCAGCAGGAGTCTGGGCCGTGCCCACTGCAGCGCGGGTGCAAAGCCACTGGCAGTTCATCAGCCACTTCAGAATTCCCATCAGAAGTGGGCAGTGCGCAGCGGAGCCCTCCTGCCAGTCAACACCCGCCAGAGCAGCGGGTTACATCTGGGCGGCGCGGAGGCCCAGCCTCCCCTGCAGAGGCAGCCGAGATCAAAATGCGGTGGAGGCCAGCTCAGCGAGATGTCTCCTCCCCCAGTCAGGAGGCTCCTCCTCTCCTTCCCCCTGGTGTCCACGTAGGCCTGGAGGCGGAGGCCAATGTGTCCAGTCGCTCCAGCCAGTGCCCTCTGTGGGATCCCCTCCACCTGCCCGGAAAGCAGGCGAGAGAGGGATCTAGACATGGCCACACAAGTGAGGGTCAGGCAGCAGAGGTCCTGGGCATTGTCCCCCGGGACTTCGCAGGAACCTCAGTCTCGCTGTTGAAAACCCATCTCAACTCGGGCCCGGGAACTGCAGGCTCCCACTCCTCTTAGGTCAGGTCCCAGGCCCATGAGCACGGGACACTCAGGAGGAGGCTCCTGAGGGGGCCCCCTAGGACCTCGGGGATGGACTCACACTAGGTCCATGGACCCTCCCGGCCTCTCCTCCACCCATCCACACCCCCTTCCACTCACCCCTCTATCTGACCATCCTTCCTTGGTCCATCCATCCATACAACTGTCCTTCATCCAGCCGTCCACTAGCTGTCCACCCATGCCCCCTCCTGTCCAGCCGCGCATCTGCCTGTAATCCACCCACACCCGTCCTGCCCCACCTACCCACCCATTCTCAGTCCACCCACCCACTCACTCTCCACCGGTTCAGCCAGTATTGTCAAGACACCGCCTTGACCTTGGGGAGCGACAGCCAGCTGCAGGCAGAGAGCTCCCCAGAGGCTGACGGAGGCTGACGCACTGAGCCACTTGGCGGCACTTCCCTTAGAGCCCAGGGGGCCGGTCAGCCAGCCCTAGGCGGGGAGGCAGGGACGGTCCCTCTGAGGAAGGGACTTCTGCTTGACACCTGGGGCCGAGGAGGAGTCAGTGCTGTGGGGGCAGCAGCGGGGGCCAGCTAGGAGGCCGGCGGTGGTATCTGGGGAGACCCGCGCTTCTGGAAAAGTCTGGAGCCTGTGAAGCAGAAGCAAATGGCTGGTGGAGGAGTGGGACGGCCGGGACCGAGCAGGACACCCCGTCTCCCAGCCCAGCAGTGTGGTGGGGCTGGCGGGAGGCCAAGCCCTGGCGGTGAGCGGAGAGAGAGGGCGGCTGGGCTCTGCGGTTCCGTGGGATTCCCAGGGAGGAGCTTCCTGGAAGCAGGTGGGCACAGACCTGGTCCTGCTGGTGGCCAGCTCCTCCTGTGCCTCTGGCCACACTTTGCACGGGGTGGTCGGTGCTCCCAGGCTGCTGGGAGGGAGGGGAGGGGACGAGCGGTCACTGTCCCTCGGCCTTGGTAAAACTGACCTTCAAGATTCATGTAGAAGGGTTGCAAGCTGTGCCCGTCGCCTTTCGTATTTTCATGGTTTTCAAGCATCATTTTTATATTTTAGAAATTGGTAAGTGGAAATAGATACATGGGGTAAAAAATCAAAATGCGCAGAAAATAGAGTGTGAGGAATAGATCTCTCTCCCAGCCCAAACCCAAGTTCTCCTCCCCAGACAGAAGCTTAGTTGCTGGTTAGCTGAGGATCTTTCTAGAGACAGGCTCTGAATATAGAAGCGTATATGTGTATTATCAGAAGCCTGATTGAGTCCCTGAAAAATAAGTTGTCCTAAGTTTTCTCTCAGACTTATCTCTGTGTGACCTTGGGCAGCTCACACACCTTCTCTGAGCCTTCAATTCCTGC